TATATCTGACTTAGCCAGCTGATTGCAGCATTATTTTTTCAGTTATTATTAAAGCTTAGTGACTCTGACAGATCTCTCAGCTTAATATATTTCATGCTCAAATTCTCATTCTATACAGCAGTCTCTGATAATGTGTACACTTCTGAAGAGATTGTGAACAATCATGATAAAATCTTCAGATTCAGTGTAGTTATCTATCTATATAAATATTCAATCTCTCACTACAGATTTAAGATCTGATTTTCTCTATTCTTATTAATGATGATGATTGCATCAGTGAAGCTCTTTATAATGAATGCTTGATTCATAGTAAATGTCAATTGTTATTTGACTTCTGCCTCAGCCTGTCACTGTGTATGCAAGGCCTCAATCTTGTTTAGAATTCTTGTACATGTATAAAGCTTCAATTTCAGTTCAGCAGTTTCAGCTATTTTTCTTACTGCTTTAAGTAAACTCTCTGAGAGATTCTGTATATCTTTCAGTTCAAGTAGCAGAGAAGAGTGTTGTTTATATTAACTAGAAAAGATATTCATTTCAGTGATTTCTTATTAATTGTACAATGTCTATCATTATATTACTATCTTATTATATGATTTCTGTTATCATTATATAACTTCAGTGATAATCATTTCTCTCTCTTTTTATTCTTCTTTTGAGTAGAGAGTGAACTTCTTTGAATCTGATTCATCACTCTTATTCTCTTTCTTATATCTCATCTGTTCATATATCATACATGGCATTCATCTGAGTGTGAAGTTTTCTCTTAATAAGTGAAGCAGTATCAATCAGATACTCTTTCACTTATCACTTATTATATACTATCTTTTGAGATGTTCTAGAATCACTCTGATATAAAAACTATAAATTACTTTGTAGATGAAATTATCATATTCTGAAGAAGTCTGTACTTCACACTGGTTTTTAGACATGCTATCAGATGTGATTCAAAGATTGCTTGAGTCAGTATATGATTACAGGCGTACGCCGGCTTCTTATATATTGTATGCTAAATTAATTGATGGCTGCTATGATCTCTTTACATTCGTAAGCAAGTTCAGAAGTGGCCGCGTTATTATCTGACAGTTGTATATTCTTTCAAATCACATCTCTAGTCTCTCTGTATCTATTATTCTAGTCTTCTTAATATAGTCTGATCTGTGAGAGAATCTGTTCACTGAGTTCTTAGTTCTCTTAATATATTCTATCTTGAATCAGAACTCACTCAGTCTCTGAGCTCAGTGAATCTACTACTGTGAGAGTTTCTTAATTGAAGTAAACTGTTATAAGCTGTTATAATCAGTTCTAATAGTAATCACTGTTATAAGACTCTCAAAGTAGTGATATCAGTGATAGAAGAATTTCACTATTATAAGAAGCTTCTAATCATGAATATTATAATTGATCTCTACAGATTATATCTTTTATAAGAAAAAGATCACTGAAACTCAGTTTTTATTTAACTGTAGTTATAAGACTATTTCTGAAATTATAAAGAAGAAGACATCTGTTTTCAATCTGATTAAGAGTAAGAAATTAAAGTGAAACAGTATCACTGTGTCTGTGAATATTTATTTCAATCTTATAAAGACTCTGTAAGCTTCTGAGATAAGAAAGTTCTTACAGCTCTCTCTTCTTAATAATCTTTTCATTCTCTATTTATAGAATGACTTCTTCTTATTTTCACTCTTCAGCATATCTATAAAAGTCAAGAAGATTCTTATAAATATAAAGATAAACTATCTATAGAAATTCACAAAGCTCAGAAAGATCTGAATCTCATGAATACTAGTTAACTTTAGTTATAATAGAATAGTTTTAATTTATAAAGATTTTATCTGAATATCATCTGCAGTAATTACATATTCTAGAAAATTAATTCAATAAGTACTGAAGTTATACTTTATAAGCTTAATATACAGTTCTGTCTTATCTAAGATCTTTAATATACTTTATATATACTCAGTGTGTTCTTTCTTCTTCACAGAGTATATTACTACATTATTTAGATATATTACTATAAAAATATTCAGATATATACAAAGTATTTTATTAATAAAAGACTGAAATACTGCAGGAATATTAATCAGATTAAAAGATATTATTAGATATTTAAATAATTTCAGTACAGTTCTAAAGATAGTTTTTCATTCATTTTCAGACTGTATTCACAATTATATATATATATTAATTATATTCAGTTATGTGAATATAATAGCTCTTATAAGACAGTTAATTACATTCTCAATCAGAGATAAAGAATAGTAACTCTTTATTATTTTAAAGTTCAGATTGTAGTAGTTTATATATAATCTGAGATCTTTATTCTTCTTCTTTATAAATATTACAGAGACTTCTACAGAGATCTATGAAGATTAAATAAAGTTATTCTTCAGATTCTTCTTTACATAGATCTATAAGATCTCTATCTCATAATAAAAGAGCTTATAGATTGATTCTTAGAAGAATTTCTACTCTTCTATTAAATCTATTATCAGATTCTTCTTATAATGAGAAGAAAGCTTAATATCTTTACTAAGCTGAATATCTCTATAAGATCTTAGTATTTCTCTAGTATCTGAAGCTCAGTTTTCATAACTGTAAAGTTCTCAGATATTTATAAAGTTATTATATAGATAAGCTTATCTTCTTTAATTAACTCTATAGTATTAACTGATTCTATCTCTGTAAGTAAGTCTGTCAACACTGATCAGAAGTATAAATCTGACTTATAGATAGCTATATACAGATTATGTCTTTAAAGTTATATAAGTCTTAAGTATATATTATCTGTGATATCTGTAATAATCACAGTTTCTATAAATCTTCTTCAGATTCTAAAGAGATCTTGTAATTCAAAGATAACTTTTATAAGTCTCTCAGCTTTCAGATCTGAGTTCTCACACTCTATTTATTATAAGAGTAGATTTTCAGTTTTTACTAGTCAGCTTATTTACTCTGTGAGTTTTAGAAACACTACAGTAATCTGAGATTCTGAGTTTATTAATACTTTTTATACTTGTAGAATAATAGTACTGCAGTACAGTCTCTCTCTGTGAGTAAGTATTTTTATTAAAAGAGTAATAGATTCAGATATTAACTTTAAAACTCTTAAGAAGACTGTTACTAACTCTGTTTATAACTTCTTAAATTTCTATTTTAATTTATTCAGATAGTTTATATAAAGATATTCTGATTTAGAATAGATGAAGCAGAGTCACTTTTTCTTAATCTCTCTATTATATACTTTATTTATAGAAGCTTATAAAGCTCTTTCTCTCTACTCAGTAGTCAGATATAAATCTCTCTATATCTTATTATCTTTCTCTGATAAATCTGTTCTCTATTATTCTGATTCTTATAGAGTTAATCAGTGATTTACTCTTTACAGATCTATGACTCTTACAGTGATTTATAAGTAATGAATGAGAGTTATCAGTTTCTTCAGAGTTAAGAGCTTAGAGTCTTACTTAATAAGCTTATTCTATATATCTTTATTTAGTCTTTTTATAAATATTATTATTCAGATCTTATTTCAGAACTCTATTTTCACAGATCTTAATTTATATTATAATTTTATAAAGTACTGTAAGTAGTCTTTATCAGATTTCTTATCTTTTTTTCTAATATTAGTAATTACAGTTCAGATGTTCTCTGTTCAGTTTATAGAGTCTTTTAACTTATTCTTTAAATAGATCTTGAGAATAAATCAGTGAAATCTCTTATAATTATTTTCTAGATAATTCAGTTAGTTCTTAACTTCAGTATAGTAGAGATCTGTTATTATATAGATAATAACTTCTTCATCTTTTATATTATATAGTCAGGCTTATGAGTCAATTTCAAATACAAACTGATAAAAGCTTTTATAGATTGTGATTTAATAAGTAATCTTAAGTAATTACAGCTTAAGAAAGTTTCTTCTCAGTTTATAGATATCTCTGAAGATTATATCTAGAGACTCAGTTTAAGAATGTTTACAGATAGTAAATATTTCTTATAGAAAAATAGCTTAATTCTGTAGAAGATACTCAAGAATGTTCTTTACTAAGATTAATTTATTTATGAGTTCAGAGAGTTTCTCTATCATAGATATAGAGAATAATATTCTGTAAGTAATTAATAAGTTCTCTAAGACTTCTTTTATAAGAGTTATTTATAATTCAGATGACTGCTTCTGAGTATCTGCAGTAGAGTTTATAGAAATTGAAGTATACAAGTTTCTAGTTCTTTCAGTTATAATAGACAGTTACTGACTGACTGAGCTTAAAATATAAGAATAAGTACTCACAGATGATTATTCAGATGTTTACAGCTTAATATAATATATACTGTTAACTACTAGAAGTATTTATAGTAGAAAGATAAAATATAGAGATTAAATATATAATAGTATTCAAGCTGAGTTATAAATAGTATTCATGAACTTCAGTTTATATAGTTATATGTAGTCAAGAGCTACTAACTCTATTAATTACATAAGAGATAGAAATAGAGGTAAAGAATCTATAAGAAGCAGGATTTCTTATAAATATATAAATTGAATTTATTTTTATTACTATAATTAATTAATAATCAATTCTATAATCAATTCAAAATCAATTTAAAATCAATTTAAAATTAATTTAATACTGAAATTATTCTTAAATTTAATAATAAAGTAAGTATTTATATAATTTACACTGAATTAATTATTAATTGATTTTCAATCAATTATTAATTACTTAAATATATAGATTGAATTTATTTTTATTACTATAATTAATTAATAATTAATTTAAAATCAATTCAAAATCAATTTAAAATCAATTTAAAATCAATTATTAAATATTTTTATCTTAATATATTTTAAAATTCTGTAAAATATCTCTTTATATTCTATATGAATTTATCTATTTATTTAATTGATTATGAATCAGTTATACATACTTTTTGATTGATTGATAAGCTGAATGGATGAATAAATGAGTGAATTGAAAGATTCAAGTTTTCTGCTTCCTGATGGAGTGTCACAAACTGCAACACTGTAATCTTTATGTAAGTTCTGTAGTTAAAAGTCTCGCTCGAATTTTTACCCAGTGCAAGCTGTTGGGAAAGGTTGCCACATATACATGGATTAACAATTGTATGCAATCACTTTAAAAAGAACATTCTGTAACATTGCCCTGCTGACATAGATTGATTAGATGACCTGAGTCCATACACTCTATTAAAAGTTGTTCAGTATCCTCGTGCTTGAATCCATACATCAACCCATTATGGCTGCCACATAGCACCACTTCAATGTCGGTGGAGATTAAATCGCCGATGTTCCGCAGAAATTCTCCTCGATATTTGTCTAGAATATCCAGGAAGATTGAAAATAGACGGATCGGTATCGTTTGGAACCTAGAAAATATTAACACGCGTTCACTTTTGGCAACATAGCAACACACCAGTCAATGCCTATCCGCAGCTCATCTCCACATGGTACTAAAGCCAGCAGTCCTGATGAAAATTTCTGGCGCAGCAGATACCAATTACGTGCCCATTTAAGCCGGTTTTTTAGCTTGGTATGTTTTTCCTTATACTCAACGGACCATTTTTCAACATGCTTGATATGGGGATAGAACTTAAATAGAAGGTCTTGAACAGCATTCGAATCAGGACGACCGGAAAGAGAGTCCCTGGCTCGGTCTTTGTTTTTGCAGTCCCGGCCTGGGGCAGATTGAGTGCGCCTAATTTTGAAGCTATTCTCACTTTGGTTCCGGCTGTCTAGCAGACGTACCAAGAAAAACCGCCGAAGTAAAGTACGGAGCGTAGATTTCGAATCTAAAACATCTAATGTGTTCATCAACATTTGATCATCACTTGGGAATTGTGACAGGGTATTATGCTCTTGCAGTCGGGCTGATTTACAGGCTTCAGCAAGCTGCTTGAATGCGTACGGGCTTGCAATGGCATAAAAGAGTCTCACGAGGCGTGGAACCTCTTCATTATGGTCTTTCCCGCATTGCTGAATCAACAGGCAGTACAGGCTATCAGGTTCTATCATTTCCTCTGTGGGTATACAACCAGCGATCGGGCTAGTCCAAAAATTCATCCGCCTTCTTTTCACTTTCCGGGCGGAATCAACTCTTCGGGGGTTACAATTCGGCAGGTGTGGGGTTAGCAATGATTCAACATCATCCGTTGAATCATCATTCTCTATGGCTGATCGGTTGTCATTAGTTGCCGACTCAGTGTCTACAGATCCCTGTGTCAGTTCAGTCCGGCGAGGTTCTTTTTCTGAGCTAGTGCTGTCCTCTGGACAAGGTGACAAAAAGTTCTCCTGCTGCTCAGTATCTATTAGAAATGAAGGAGGCATTATGTCAGACAGTCTACATGTTAAGCCATTCAAAGAATTGGAAAGTGAAAGACTAAGACTTGAGCCCATATATTCAGGCATTTCAAGGGCAAAGAAGTGCGCGATCGATTTCTGTTTCTGATCAACCGCATGGTGAGTATCAGATGCCGGCTCATATTGAACAATCCCTAGTGCCTGTTCAATAGTAGGAACACTAGGTGTGATGATTGCTAGATCTGGGATCACTTGTTGGGCAGCAGCGAAGCCATATTCATCAATTAAAGCTGATAGACAATCTTCCAGATAAGTAATATACTCGTCATCACTATTTCCAGAGAATGCAAATTGTCAACATTTTGGTCTCATGGTGCCGTCAGAGACTTGGGGTACTTTGCCTCAAACTATTACCTCAACCCTAATAAGAGAGTAGCTAGAGTAAAATTGTGACAAACTTGAAGGGAATTAACCTTCTATTATTGAATATCTATAACACCTAAGGTTTTGCTTTGCAACAACAAGTGGGTGTGAGAGGAAAAATAAATGATGAGTGAGAAGGAGAGTGAAGTAACCTCAGGTGTGAGGAGAAATGCGGGGAAATGAAATAAAAGAAGGTCATGGAATCTCAAAGATGATTAGAGATGTTTCAAGTAAGGCATGTGCCAGTTGCTGTAAAATTTTTGCATCCAAAGTCACTGAAAATTAGAGGCAGTCTTGTGACAGCGACAAAATCTAGGTCGCATGGTATAAGTCATACAAATAATTCACCAGTGTAGATAATACACTATGCACTCTCAGATCACAGCTCAGAGTCTGTGGTATCAGCATATAGATGAAGCTATCCTAAACCCAGAGCCAATACCTAACCTGTTATCAGAAGTGTACCAGTGACTTCCAGGACTGTGTCCACAAACTACACAAAATGAGGTATTCTAAGGGTTGCAGGTTAGCTCTGGCTGGTTTGTATCAAAGTTGTGACGCTGCATTGTATTTCATGCAAATGTGAATGCGTGCTGGTAACCACATTGTTCCTAGTTGCAGCAAAGAAATCGATCATAGGGATGACCCAAAAATCATCCTGCAGCCGAATTTCACGTGATGGTGGTAGAGTTGCAGTTTGTCACAAACCGCAACTTGACCATCAGAGACAAATAGAAGATTCCGCGGATAGAGAACCCTGATGGCTGTTGCCTTTATCGTAAATACTGGCTAACCTACACGAATTTAAGTATCAAATCGCCTATATCCATGTAGTGAGGAGTTAGCAGGGGCAAAGGAAATGCAATGATTTGACATATTCACCACGGCTCGAGCCACGCTGCAACTTTATTGCAATACCAGAAACGGCCAAGCCAACAGGAGAAACATGGTTAGGTTGCAAGCTATAGACTGCACGAAAGATCTAATCTGCGTTATATTAATAGCTTTAATAGACTTCAAATGGGGAATTATATATATAGAAATTACAGGGGCGTCCGCGAAACAGGACCATGCTTAGACTCTGCATGATTCATAAGATGCATCTTATTTTCCTTGCACTTAGAACCTCGGAACCCTGACCCAAGGCGGTCAACATGCTTTCGCCGAAAATGCCTAGTTAGAGACCCTGGGTCATGGTACTTCTTGGTCCTCTTGGCTAGCTGGAGGTTAGGATTTCCAACACAGAGGAAACAGATCTCCGGCCGTTGATCCGGTGAATCTACTTGCACTGATGTGATAGCTTCGCGGAGAGCGACAGCAGTTTCATCTTCCAGGGAGTGCTTCTGTTTCTTACTGTGCATGGAAGAAGCTACATCTGGAGCGACTCGCTTTTTCAGTAGGCAGATTGTCCTCTGAGAAGGGGCACCCTCTTCTACATTGCAGAATGCTGTCACCGTGTTGATAGCAGCTATTTGCCGCCGGTACTCGGCCTCAACCGTGGGCGCTGGTCTAGTGAGGACTGTGTCAATCAGGATAAGGTGCTGCGGTGTCATATACCCTGACCGCTGTAGTACATCGATCACCTCTTCATCCACCATCTTGCCTGAAAGTTGCCTTTGACTATCGATCACCGGTTGATTGTTCTTGTACTGTTCAAGGTTTTCCTGCACCATACAATTGCATTGTTGCTGTTTCTCACTCTGCAATTCCCAGAGAGTATGTTGATAAGCTTGACCTGCATGTTTGTGCTGCACTTCTGCTTGTTTACAATGTTTCCTCAATTTACAGTAGGTACATCGACGATTCTGGCATTTTAGATTGGTATTGAGAGATCTGTTGTACTCACTGCTACATTTCTGACATGGTATATCATCTTTTGTGTCGATGAGAGCCTGTTCGAATTGTTGTTTGGCCTCTTCATATTCATAGCAGTGCTGGTCCCGAGACTTCCACCGCTTGTTAACCTTGTCCTGTAGCACATGTATGCAGTCTAATTCATTGACGGAATCAGACTGTTCCTTCGTCAGCTTGAAGGGACGCTGAGGATCGATTGACCAGCTCATTGAGCAAGCAAAACGCATCAGCTTCGTTTGAGGAGTGAGGCCGCGGACAATCGCTTGGGCGTCGACATGTATGCCAACACTATAGTGCTGCACAAAGGTGTTGATGTTACTGTGCTGCAACATCACATTCTGGAGCTCATTGGTCACATCCGCTGTCAATCCAAACTTCGTCAGGAATGCTCACATCATTTCATTATGGATTAAGGAATACCTACAACTATCATTAAACGCCTTAGCCGATCTGTATCAAATACAGTACAGCTTTGTAACCTGCTCAAAACCTGTGATCTCACCTGCTCGCTTCATGCGATAGCGGACGCTCGCTGCTGTTAACCATTTTTCCAAGGCTATGCGAACTCCATGTGCTTCCTGGACTGCCTGGCAGAACACAAATTGATCCAGGAGCTCATCCTTTAATTTTAGATCCTGTTGATTTAGCCCTTTTAGAATGCCTAGGCTGTAAAGGTTCTCAGGGCAGTTGATAGTCGGTTGGTCTTTGCATATGCTTCTGAATGCCTTGAGCCGGAACAACATACTGAGGAGAAAGACATGGGGGCTTAGGACCAAAGTCGGATCATATATAATCTCAGGGATCAGGAATGTATTCCTATGCAGTGTATCATATGGATATATCAAGAGCAGTCACTTCTTCATTCCTGAGTGCCAAACACCACACTGAAACACGACGCTGAATCAGGTTTCACCATTATTGATTTGAATACTCAGAGGATGAAACCAAATACAGAAGCTGAACGCGAAAAGATACAGGTCAAACATACAGTTCTTTTTTCCCAAGGAATGTCTTGATAAATTCAGGCGTTAGGTAGATAAACAACCTAGGTCAGCCACCATCTGGGTCACGAATCAGCCTTAGCTCTAGATGGCGATATCAAAGGTCTAGCAATGCCTGTGGTCAGCTTGCCGTGATTGCTGCTAGCTGACAGAAGAGGAGCATCTGGATTCACAGCCAGCCACTTACAAATGTCATCTCCATCATTGCTAGAAGTACTCAGGCGAACTCTGCTACATCCTCAATATACATCATCACCATTGGTTGGTGAATGAGGAGAAGCTTCTTTTCTTCTGCAATGATGCTGAGAACCTAGAGTTGATTAATTAAAATTAGAGACAGTGAAGGATTAGCCTCTTACATCTTCAATCTGTCTGATGGTTTCTTGAGTGAGGCCATTCCCGGTTTCTTGCTTATACACAAGATGCCAGCATTTCCAGAATGTCTCTAGTGAACTCTTATATCGGATGCCAGGTGTCCGTCGTCCATTCTTGCCCCGCCGTAGGTCACAGCGCCAGCTGAAAAGCCCCTTGAGGTACTGGACAATTTCCTCTGCTGTGGCCAATGAGTGAAAGCAGCCGGCTGGATCCCGGCGCTGAAACCAACAATATCTATCCAGGGAAACACTGTGAAATTTGATCAATTTCTATTCAACAATATATCAATATCAAGGTCTGTGCATTCTTACCAATCTCAATAGCTCCTTGCCTCCTCTAGCCTCTTCAGTGTCTTTGGACTGTATCTCTGCTGTTGAAGCCGAGATACATCCAGTTGGCTGGCCTCTGCATGGTAGTGTTCTGGAGGATACAACACCTCATTATCATAGGCCTGGTCACCATCTAAGATGTTCTGTAGTTCATCCCCTGAATCATCAGTCTCTGAGTAGTCACTACCTGACTCTGACCCATTGTTGAAGATAATGGGGACATCAGAGCAGGCGTCATCTTCCTCTGATGACATGATAATCCAAGGATTAGGAGAGGCCTGACTTAAGGGAAGGTGTTGAAGAGACGAAATGTATAGGAAGCTTTAAAGAATCCAGTGTAGATATTAGGGTATTCGGTGGTATAGAGCAATTAAAGATGATAAGTCGATTCAAGTTGGCTGTCATGATGACGGGGTATTTATAGGCTTAGAAGGAGCAGAGTAAACGGTGGCTGGCCCGCGACCGTTGTGGTGCCGCTGGGGGCATCGAAGAATCAAGGTCAGAATCTGCATCCTGGCGGCAGCATCGTAACCTGTGGGTCAGCAAGAAATTACTGGTCGTTGAACGTGCGTGGTTATTAGAATGAGGGCCGTATGAATGAACGCACCTGACGCCAAGATGAAAATGGTGAGTGCGCTGCAGGTTTTGGCAGTACGACAGGGGCCTCGTCCTCACCAGAACATTGTCTAAACAACCCTCTAGACTCTAGGGTAAACGTGGGCGATTTAAAATGCAGAGTGCAGGAAGGGTGGCAAAATATGGAGGGAATGTAAGCATACTGAGGCACAAGACTCAATCACCATCTATCTGTCTTTACTTGGTAGCTAAAGGGCCGAACCATTCCATATATGTCAGATTTTTGTTTCCTAGCAACATTTGTACAGTACCTGTACTAACCCCCGGAGATATATGGAGATGAAATGAGCGTTTGTATTGATTACAGAGCGGTTGTTGATCCTCTAGCTTTGTGAAGCGGCAACCGCTTGAACAACAGGTAGGGAACGTACGGAGTATTGATCCCGTAGATGGCATGGAGAACGAACCACACCTAGGGCGGGTCATCCATTTTGTTATGCAGGACCTCTAGAAAACCCACCATTGAACAGCTCTCGGATGAAATTCCTAGCCGGGTTTTACACCTAGCCTGAACCTGTCTGTATCCCACACAGGGAGTACCATCTCAGTCCTGAAGTCATCCAAGAGGAAGAAGCACTCCGCCGCGAGCCCCAATATTTGCCGTTCTTCCGGAATAGGAATGACAGCAACCATCTCAGCTCTCCGGGAACATTTTCATTCTCTTCGCTGCCTTGGGCCCATATCATACGAGCTCCGGTGACTTCAACATGCTGTGGAGCACTCGTCTCAACCGACGATAGCAATTATGGTGCTATTCGCTTCAATCCTAGTACGCTGGGAATCGTATTCGAGGTTGAGGAGGGAAACTTTAGTCTCTTGGATGAGGGTGTGGTCGTGCTGATGCCCCTGCGCTCCCTGGCCGATGAGTGGTCGTGGGATAGGTAAGTGATGGCGGTATTGTAACTGAAGTATGCTTTTGAAGGATTGAACAGAGCTCAGCTCACAGGCTGCATGGTTAAAGGAGTCACTTTTAGTTGAGAACACCCTTGTTTAGATGCTTGCCTAGGCAGAATGTATCTTATTTCCTTTGTCATTCTGTAGCTGTGGAGGATAAATTCGAATTGAATCCAAACCTCTTGAAGTTCAACCACCATCATCAAGCGGTATTCAGTGAGTGCGTGTGGCACCTTAAATGTTTGATCTGGCTGTCAAACTTAAAGCCACGGGTTTAAATAAAATGAAGTTAACAAGACACACATTTGAAAAACATGTGATGATATGTCAGATAGAATGTGATTGTACGGAGGATCCTATCAAAAAATTTTAAGCTAGCTCTAGTTAAGCTGTGCTGTAGTTGGTTTTCAGGCGCCACAGGCATTAACCTCCCTGGTTAAGAGAGGATAGTTACAACTTTCAATTCTTAGTGCTAATCAACATCCTCTGTAAAAAAATAACAAACACTGTCATCATATCAGCTTGTGATTTTCATCGATTGGATTTGGAACTGACCAAACCCACAGAATGAAATAATTAAGTGCCTAGCATGAGCGCCTGTGCTGTCTGTCCTATAGACTTGGCACGATGAAAAGCAGAGTAATTGTCATATGGGCAAAATGTAACGCTATGAAACATCCCTACGGAGTACTCTGAACGGAGTAGTCTAACATTGAACGGTGGTTGTGTTCAATTAGGCCCCGGCGCAACTTAGTTAGCGTAGCAGCTAAGCGCCGCCACTCGCGCTATTAACTAGCGCGCCTTGACCCTGAATCAACATCAGTTCAACACTCAAGAGCCCCCCCCATTGAGAATCCCAACAGCGAGGAACATTGAGTAGAATAAAGTATGCTTTGAAAAGAAAAGTTATTTCCAACCGACTCAGTATTTTCCAGGTGAGTATACGAATGTTTGGCCAGATTTTCCATTCCGATGCTAATATATCTCCGGGCAGACAAAGAGTAGAACCAATTCATATGAACATGGCGGCCCTCCGCAAGCCCAAGCGATACTACGAGATATCTAAATTATCTACCTTTTATCCAATTATTCTTTGCTCAAAATCCTCACAGCATGCGTCTGAAAGACGCCAAATCTCCATTCCCAAGGAACACATCCCATCCCGAAGACAACACCTTGAATCGAAGCCAAATGAATCAACAAAAAGTCTCTCCACCGACTTTTGTCGCTCATATATGCTAGAGAAACTATGAAGAATCAAAGAAATAACAAAGAAGAACGCCCTCGATGAGATTAACAGGAGCGGTGAGGCCCTCTGCTTCCACTACCCTGTTCTGCATCCGCACGCACGTACGTACATACGTAATGTACATACAGTACATACAGTACGCATGCGAATGTGCATGCGCATAGGCGTTACGTCAATTTATCTAGACAGCCACTTCCTCGCGCGACCCCCTGATTTCCTTTTTTTTCTCCCCTGCCCTGTCTTCTACCTGCATAAGCCCAATCGAATTCGAGATGGCGATCTTAGTCGTGTTATCTCCAGGATATCCTTCACACCGTGCATCTGGATATATATAATCCATGCAGCAGATCAGCCCTGGCAGGCGCTGACGGCAAAAGGCAAAACCCACGGAAAACAAAATAAATAAAAAATAATAGAAAATAAACGTGGGTATGGAATATGCGAAGCTCACCACCCAATTCGCAACATCCAGACAGGGCGAACGCGGCAGCCACCAAATACCAAATAGTTTGGTACTAGGTTCAACCAAGGATACTGACTTGCCTGCTCCATCTCAAACGGGCCCCGACAGAAATGAGCGAACTGTTGAAAGAAAATTCCTTTACACACGTGCCATATTGGACAAGATACTACCCCTCCTACTGACCTAGCCCTTATCCATCGCGCAGCGATGTACCGAAGTCTGAAAACGGTGAACAGTCGAAAAAGCAATGCAGCAAGCGCGCGGCCTGTCTAGTTGAACCTCTCTCTACTTTCCCGGTCCGCCTGTGGCCATCCGCACGTGCATAATTGATTAAATCGGGAGACTCTTTTTGACGGATGCGCTCTTCTTTTTTCATGTCCGAACCCCTACCGATTCATGATGCTCCCCGCCTGGGAACTGGCCGGGCACGTGCAGTGCCTTTGCCGTTTTTCTTTTTATCTATTAATAATGGGTTTGGACTCGGGGAGGGAGTCTCCCCGCAGTGTAGGAGATAACCAGAAATGATTTTTTTTTTTTTTTTTTCGAACTCGAGTACTGTAGTCTCGGTGGAGCAGGAAAGGGAGAGGTCGACCTGCCCTTCGTCTCTTCGTTCCTGAGCTGCGGATACTTGTGAACGATCACGGGAAAGATGTACTGTACTGTACTTCGGATGTATGTTCATGTGCAGGTCAAGGGCGCATGCAATATATTCTCCGCCGGACACGCAGTCGACTCGGGAGAAGAGAGCTGATGGTCAACCTACGGACGTGAGAGTTAGCCCATCTATACACACCACCCCCTTCCACGATGGGTCATGGGTGTTCGTGTTCCATCAAAAATGATAACCTACAGACATAAACGCCCAGCTCAACCAGACCGAAACCCGAAACTCATCACGGCTCCAAATACCAAAACATCTTCTTTGAGAATTTATAACTATGGCCGCGCCATTAGCTAATCCTCTCAAGAAGTCCCGTGAAGAACTCCCGCCCGGCAAATGGGGGCCGTAGAGCTATTAATATTTCATCGTCGGCATTTGTTAAAAAAAAAAAAAAAAGGCTCCCTCCGCCCGCGGTTTCTCGTGGCACTACTCCCCGGTTATTGAAAAACGCTCTCATCTTTGGGGAACAGTCATGACTCTTCAGGCTCTCTGCCGCATTGTATCCGAATCTGTCTATCTCCTCTTCCTCTGCTTCTACTTCTTCTACTCATATTCCACCACCAACTGCCGTCCTTTCTCTCCTGGCTTCAATTTATATCAACTTCTTCTCATTAAAACTTTTCCCATGCAAAAGTCTGCATATCTGATAACGTTCGAATTGCTAATAACCCTTGCGCGTATGCGTGTGTGTATGTGGGTGGTTAGCGGGCCAGGAACGCGGTCATACATATACAACTGACAGCTACAGGATACAGACTACCTACATTCCGGCGTGCGAAGTGAATCTGGGACGGGCCTTACTGGTGGGTATTTTTTTTTTAATCTCTACGAGGCTGTCTGAGAAAGTAACTACGGAGTAAGGGGGGAATCTTATTATTAGTGCGGACTACTCCGTACTCCAGCTGCACATGCAGTCTGGTGGTGGGTGGTGGGCTGAGAAAGCAAAGACATGAAAATTAAAAAACTAAACCCAAGAAAATGCTCTGCATGATGAAAAAAAAAAAAATGTGATTGGACCCCAATTCAATTGGGGGCCACCATCTTCGCTTTTTTTAGCCAGCCTTGTTTGGCTGAGAGGGAAAGGAAGCACCTTTTGACTAAACGAATCAAGAAATGGTTTGAAATTATGGGATTTATATCCATATTCCTCTTTGAGTATAGAATTTGGTATATCATTTTCGATTTCTTATTTCATACTTCGTACTTGCGGGGTAAGAGATAAGGGGGAGGGGGATAGGGCATGGTTTTGAAGATTTACATGGTAGCTAGTCGAGTGCTCTGTAGTCTTGGTTTAGGATGAACAGTCCTACCCACTACCAGCCTATGAGATTGAGATGTTTTGAGTGTGATATTGTTGGCCAAAATAAAAACTAAAAATAAAACTAAAAAATCAGCCCATCATCTTTTTAGATGAGTACAGATAGCCCCGCTGTTCCATCCTGCTACCGTTGCTGCTGTTACTGTTCCCGTTGATATTTCTTTTGAAGCAATTGGATCAACCTCTTCATTCTCGTACGATCGAATCCAACCACAGCAGTGCAACATACCTTGTGTCCACCCTATTGATCCCCAGGGTGTAACGGCATATGTGTAGATGGGGTATATCGTTATATATATATATATATATATATATATTAGAACTGGGCAACCAGAAACACCACCAAAAATAAATAGATTCTTCAGGACCTTCACGTGTGTGGGGGTTGGTGTGTTGAAAGCAGGGTGGGTTAGGCTCGTGTGACCAGTCCGGACCGTTATATTCTGTGCTACATTGCATATCACACTCTTTCCTAGGGGGAAAACGCTAAAGGGAGTGAGTTAGGTGGGGAAGAGTTAGAGAGGGAAGCGTTTGTTAGGTTACCCTATCCTGACTTGCACAGTGTTGTGTGTGCACAAGCAACGGCTGGGGAGAGTTCAGCGGTTGGTGATGGGAAGGACAGAGGCTTCCTATTAGATTTCTTTTTTCCTGGGTGCACGTTGAACAGCCGCCAAGTGTAACTCACATCTGGGTTGGGAGATGGCAACGATGAGAATCTACGCTGTAGGGAGGAGGAGGAGGAGGAGGAGGAGGAGGAGGGGTTCGAGTCAGGACAGCAAACCATTTTCCCTTCCGACGCTTATTATTGCGCCTTGATGATCTAGTTTTTCTTCAGGGGTGGTCCAAAATATCGTGGCGCCAGCCCACTGGACCTCAGAAAATGAAAATCTCAGCGAGGTGAAATAATCCTGGCTCGCTTGAAAGTTTAAAAACCTCGAACAATCGACGGGTAGAGTCAATTTCCATGGGTTCGTAGATTTCCTGCAGGCCAACATTGGTCCAAACCAAACCAAACCCACCAAAGTTGCAGTAGTGGCTGGATTATTTGAAGAGTTGGCCTGACACTTGAGGAACGCTTTAAGCTCCCCGCGTTTGCTAAATGGGCCGAGAGGGTGCAGTAAACTATGAAATTCACTTTTGTTTGTATGTATCCTGTGGAGTTTTTGGGGCGTCTCCGGTCAGTGGTGCATTGACCTCGGAATGGATGCATTAGATGTACGGAGTACTTCGTCCTGAACAAAACGGGGCCAGTTCGCCGTCTCGTTGAATGAAGACACAAAAGGTGCTCGACTCGAATTCACGACGGTATTGGACGGCGCGGAGTGCAGCAGTAGGGTATTCATGACGCAAACAATAGTCATTGGTGGGTAGCAATGGCATCAACCGTTGGCATCACTAGCATATTGTGAAAACCCCAAAAAAAAAAAAAAAAAAAAAAAAAAAAAAAAAAAAAAAAAAAAAAAAAAAAAAAGAAGAAATGAAAAAAAGGAAAAGAAAAGAAAAGAAAAGAAAAGAAAAGAAAAGAAAAGAGAATGAAAAGGGAAAGGAAAATAGTTACTCCCTTGCACACCACACCACATATCTGTTGTGGATGTTCCATTCGGAGCTCCCCTCCCCCACTCACTTGCGATACACGATATCGTGAGAACCCCGAGGAAAGGAAGCACGGCATAATCGTACATAGTTGGGCCGTTTTTCGGTGCTCTTGAATAAAAGCTTGACCTAGAACCGCTTGTCCTCCTCTCTTTCTCAGTTCTTATCAGGGATAGCCACAAACCCGTTGAAACCCGGCAGAGGCACACTTCAAAGGAGTAACTTATGAAGAACGGGCAGTCAGCGCGCTAGTTGTTGACCATTTAACCAGCCACAAATGTGATCGAATTGAAGTCCGCGAGCCTGAATAGGAAAGCTGATTCTGAAAAATATGACTTACTGCGTAGATGCTACGTCGTTATAGCGCCAGCATGAGAACCTAATTATTCCGAACCAGTCGATGGCATGAAGTTTAAAGGAGCACTAAAAATTCATTCAAACGCATCTATAGCCTAACCGGCATCAGCCAACAACGCAGTGCTCTCTGCTCTCCTCTGAGTTCCTCCGGATCGAGATCTGGAATTCCATTTTCTTTTCCATTCAACGCTCGAGTGCTTGCCGGACATCTCACCCGACGCGCCAATACTCAGGCATTTCCTACATCTGAAAATGTCACAGGAAAAAGCAAAGAAACAACAACAGGCCAGTGCAACACAGGACACTTGACTTGGTTCTCCCCATCACTGCCATTATTCAGCAGCATTTTTGGGTCCTCTGACCACGGGTATTTGCTGGTGGCTTGTTGGGCAGGGCTTGGGTCCAGATGAAAGGGACAGGTGATGGTGGTGCAGGAACTGTTCTCTTTTGACGCCTGAACTTCAGATTGAGAGAGCAGACTCCGTTTTATTATTCGTTTTCCAGACAGAGGCCAAAGTCTTCGATCCATGCAGATACACGTACATGTACATGTACATGTATGTACATACATTCAGCGGTACGAGCACTGTGCAGATTTACCTTACGGATCGTATGTTGGCGTGAGTTCCAGCCTGGTATAAAAGGAATATGCTCTGAGGGTGCGAGGCAATGCTGTATAACCCCCCCCCCTGGGCTATCCGTAAATCGGCGAGACAGTTGATTAAAAAAAAAAAAAGAAAAGAAAAGAAAAGAAAAATCATCATCATCATCATCATCACATCACCATCCTAATAATCTGGAAACGAAGCCTGATGTTTAGATTGCAGAAAGAGAGGTTTCAGCAGCTTTTCATTTCTGAACTGCCTTCACCAATAATAACAATAAGTAGGATGTTGGTTGGTCTGTTTAGGGTATTTGCGCTGGGCCGCCCACTAGGGCCAGTTAGTCAGTCTTAGTAGTGACTCTTAGAGTCTTTAGTGAAGAAGCGTGAGTTAAGGTTGTTTGCCAAAATAATAGTCTCCGTCCGGCTCGGGCCTCCACCAAGCCCACCCAGCGGCTAGGGGCCCCCACCCCCCAAACTTCAAAGAGAGGCGGAACTCCAGGGCAGCCAACCGCCAGCTCCCGGGGGCGTTATTGGCCTGGTCGTGCGGGCCCACTCGCCAAAACACACCCGGAACCAGATGGCACGGCGGCTGCCAAGTTGCCAACTTGCTGGGGCTGCACTGCCGCAGTACCGCTGCAGCGTGTGATCTTAGCGGCCGAGTCCCCGGCTAGGGCTCCCCACTTGGGGCTAGTGTGGGGAGGGAGGGACCTCGTCCCATCATCTAATCTGACATTCTGTACAGAGTACGCAACGATTCTCTTCGTTGCCAATAATGAATGGCCCTCCCCCGCCGCCCAGCCCGCTCGACTTGGCTCTCAACTGCTAGTTTACTAGCTACTGTAGCTATCACGGATGCATCTCATATCGGACCAGAATTCTCCTTGCTGACCCGGGACTGCTGATCGTGCGACTTTGCCCTCCCAGCACTTGATGCGCAACCGCAACGCACCGGCGCAGCAAGGGAACTCCCGTCCAATGCCAAGACGGACCACTGCATCCCCAGCAAAGAAGCGAGGGCGAAGGAAACAGCCAAATGCTAAATGCTGGCTTTAATGCCTGTGGTTCGCAGGTTGAGTTGAGAAAGAGACGACTTGTTCTGTGCTTTCTTAATCCTTAAGCAGTCATGCTCACCACGGCTCTCCGTAATGGCGTAACCGAAAAGGTTACAAAACGCAAGCTGAAGGCCCACTCCGAACACCTCATGAAGCGCGTCTCGAGAGCTTGTTTGCACTGTCGCCAGCGCAAATCTAGATGCGACTTGTAAGTGGGATGGGAGTTCTCCTTCTCTCTGGAGCTCGTGTCGAATGGGCATCACCTGTTTCTTCGCCATTCACACAAACCACTCCCCCCCTCTTCCCCCCCGGTCAAGCAGATATATTCGGCCCAGGGGAGATTGTTCTTTGAGGGCCGGACCCCACCGCTGACTGACTGGTCTTTGGCATATAGGGATAGTAGTGGAAGCCCAGGAACTCCGCCTTGTCAGCGGTGTCTGCGAGACCATCGTGAATGCGTTCTGGGTAGCTCTAACAGAGGAGGGCGGCGTATTCGCAAGCCAAAAACTACCAATATTGAGATGAATTCAAATTCCTCCCCCACCAAAGTGCTGCAACTGCCTCCGACCGGCGTCTCTGGTCCTTCAGAACCCCATTCGTTCCCGCAGCCTTATCCGCCAGATCACTATGGACGATCCGATCCACCCACCACTTCCACTATCAATATCGACGACGACGATGATTCCGCCTCAACTACGGACAGCGCAATCGGATCCGTTCCACGGAACCCGTCTGACGCATGGCAGTGTCTGACAAATGTTGCCAAGCGAGGGTCAGAAAGCGCAAACCTCGATAAAACCGGAGATCATTATTCAGAGTCGAAAAGACGTACTAGACTAACTGGTGTTGAAGATGAGGACCCTGAGCCGGGAATCAAGGCATATCGCCTTATCAAGAACAGGTCCCTCACCCGTGAAACTGTTTCCCAGCTTGTGACGCGTTACGCGGAAAATTTCCATCCTTATCTTCCCCTTGTTCCACGAAAATACTTTGATCCAGCTGCTCTAGAATCATTTGCGTCACAGGAAAAGCATCTGCTTACCGCAGTCCTTACCATCGCCTCAAAGGACCTTGTCGAAACCCCGCAGGTTCATGAGGTTTGCTCCAAGTATATGCATGAACTAATATCTGGCATTGCCGCTGGAACAGATTGCGATGTTGAGGCGGTTGAAGCATTGCTGATCCTCGCCGAATGGGAACCACAAGGCCTACGGCCGAAAATTGAAGCCGTGGGGCGAGGAGAGGAAGATAGGGCAGCGTGGATGCACGTGGGACTAGCTCTACGCTCGGGATATTTCCTTGGGCTTGATCGGACTTCTTTCAGAAGTGATCCCGCCAACGACGCGCAGGTCGACGGACGGAAGCGACTGGCATGGACTAGCTGCTATATTTCGGATCGATTGATATCCGTTCGCATCGGACGAGCATTTTGGTCGCGGGGCCCTGGCCCAATGACGGGACTTGTTAGCAAAGACTTTCCGTCTCTACAACCTCTCACTTCAGATGATGAAGACTACGCCAAGATCTTCCAAGCGCTGTTGGACCTCACACAGTTGTACGGAAACGTTCACGATGTCCTCTACTCAGGAATGCGCACGAGCAGTCAAATGATGTTGATGGGAGATTACGTGAAATACGTCGACGACTTTCGAAATGCACTTGACCGCTGGAATCGGAATTGGGGCACATTAACCTGTATGTCCAACCATTCAAGCCTACTCGCGGATCCCTTGCTTTCTTAGCAAAGAAATCAGCTAATACAAAAATCCCATAGGCTCTCAACACATCAAGGTGACCCTACAGATGTCTTACGAATATCTGAGGCTATACACAAACGCTTTTGCGTTCCAAGCGGCAATTTCCCAAGCACTCACCTCCAAACCCAAGGGAGATGCTCCAAGTCACAGAGAGCACCTACGGGCAGCATTTAGCAACGTTGCATCTATGCAGGATGCCCGTTTTATATACGCATCAGTTGATGCCGCGAAATCATACCTCACAATTCTGAATAACTATGTTGATCCCGAGAAACATTTACATTTCATGCCTCTTAGATATTATCTGTAAGTTTACCTTTCTTCATCAATTGGTTCTTTGGGTACTATCCCTTAACTAATACCGTTTTGAATAATAGATATAGCATTTATGCCGCTGTATTCCTATACAAGGTAATAATGGCTTGCCCCAATCCTTGCATTCTTAGATCTGGTTCGTTAACGTGTCTCCATTAGGCCCGCTCATTTGGAGTAATGAACCCTCCTGAGGAGCAAGCTGTGCGACATTTGATAAACCTTACGACAGACAGACTTCATAGAGCGAGTGCAGGGCCCGACGACATCGGCTCCCGCTATGCTCGGCTACTCGAGCTTCTCTGGAAACCCAAGTCATCGTCCTCATCGTCATCTAACACCCACGAGACGCTGCGCAAGGACGGAAATATCCCGACAGGAACAGTCCCAAGTAGACTTCCAGAGCAGACATATATGCAATATTCACCAATGAACGATTTCTCCTGGTTGGATCTAGAGGCTGTCGGTGACTATGTCTCTGGATATCCAATCGGGAATCCCAACCTTCTCGGCATGAATTCATTTCCACATCATAATCCATTCCCGGTAACCTCAGAGACGATTTGGCCTGTTCAAAACTGGCCGGTTGATCTTAACGGTAACTTATTATTTTGAGCCCTGGCTATTTTTATTTTTATTTTTTGTTTTGTCATCTGGAGGCATTTTGCCCGAGACTTGCTTATTCTGAATAAATTAAGTTGGTTACATAAGGCGCATGCCACAGCCTCCGCCGCCTGAGTTTCCTCTTTGGGAACATTGCGGGGTCGGCAATATGGGGAAGCTTTGTACTGATGCTCGTACGTCACGATAGCCGGGACTTCACACAAAACAGCTTATTGAAGCCCGACCATGATGAGACGCACTACGATTTGTTTGCCATGCGTACTCCTACCAAACACTTGCAAACACCAAATAAGTGGGTAAATACTCCCATCTATACTTGACCCAATCAACCCTCGAAATAATGGCCTCCTTTAATGAAGTTGAAGGCCGTCTGGCACTCATCACTGGAGCTTCTTCGGGGTTAGTAGATTCCTCGCTAAGCTCCAAATCGCTTTCAATGATAACGCGCCGTCCACGAACACAACTATTATACTGACGCGACAGCACTCTTTCGGTTTCAGCATAGGCGCAGCATGTGCTCGTAGACTTGCCACAGGGGGCGTGCATCTCGCCCTCACCTACTCCAAAAACCTCGACGGCATGAGCGCCGTGTACCACTCCATCAAACAGCAAGGGTTCCAATCAGCAGGATCACCCCTACGCATTTCCATGCACCAAGTTGACGTTGCCGTCCCCGAACAGATCAGCCTCATGTTCCAGGAGATTGAACAGGCGCACAACCAACTCCCGGACATCCTGGTGTCGAACGCCGGATACGGCAAGCGCATTCCGCAAATATGGGATATTTCGTTGGAGGAGTTTGATCACACGATCAATGTTAATTTGCGGGCGTCATTTATTTTGGTGAAGGGGGTGGTGGAGCGGATGAAGGAGCAGCGATGGGGACGGATTGTGTTTATGTCTTCCATAGCAGGATATGGAGGGGGCATTAACGGGTGTCGTATGTTTGCCCCAGTTGTACCCACCCCGACTTACTTTGTGATCGTAATGTGTTTTCTTGTAAAAAATGATGTTTGGTCCCTTTTTTCTAACCATCTCACCACGAAAAATACAATAGACTACGCTGCCTCCAAGGGTGGCTTGACAGGTATGATGAAGAATCTCTCCACCCGTCTTGCCGAATACAATATCAGCGTCAACGACGTTGCACCCGCTATGATTGGTGAAACGGGCATGATACCCAATGCCCAGGCCATTCCGGAAGTTGCAGCGGGCATCCCGCTGGGCCGATTGGGAACGCCAGAGGAGGTTGCAAATGTGGTGGAGATGTGTGTGGTGACGGGTTATTTGACGGGGCAGAGCGTGTTGTTGGCTGGGGGGTTGAAGTGAACTGTTTTGGAAGAATAATCTTTGACTTTAGTCTTGTTTTTCACGTTTTATCGTTTACCATGTTATAAAGTTGAGCGAATGGGTTTGATGATCAGGTATATATGTTCATTTATGGGAGACTGTTAGTATTTGATATTTTATTTCCGTCTTATTTCGTTGCGCATGCAGAAACAACCGCATTCAATGGAACATTAGAAGAAACCCTTTATCATTGGTACATTACTAGATATTCCATTCCCGTGTTCATATACTGCGTAGTCTAGGCAACATTTCAAATCCAAAAATGTTAAAAAGGGTTTCCGTCCGGTTACAAGTAGCTCATACGTAAATTTATAGCCCACAAGTAATGCGTTCGCCCCATCAAGAGAACCTCCTGGCCAGCTAACTACCTCCCACAGCCTTCCTCCTCCTCCTCCTGCTGCTGCTGCCCAGAAAGAACTATAACCTTAACAACCGGCTTCCCCTCCTTATCCACCCCCTTCGCCGCTAACTCAAATGCTCTAACCCCATCTTCCAACCGCACAAAATGCGTCGCTACCTTCTCTGCTACCCCCTGAAATTCCTCACTGCCCATCAAGGTCACCGCCTCCGGATACGCCCGTTCGGCATACCGAAACACACCAATAAGATCAACCTCCCGCAACGCAGCTGCGGACAAGGGTATGCTAGGCCGCTGCTCCCCGCCCATACCAATTTGCACAACCGCCCCGCCAGGCCCCGTGGCATAGATGCCCATGCGGATGCAGCTCGCGACGCCCGTGCAGTCATATGTACGGCTAAAACCGTTGGTGAGAGAAAAGATGGACAGGATCTGCTGGGCGATCTCATCTTCGGGCTGTGGTGGGGAAGGGGTGATAGTCGAGGACGGATTTGGCAGTAGATATGTGCGTATCTTCGCGGTGCGGGAGGGGAGGGACGCCGCGATGCGCAACCTTTCTTCGTCAATGTCCGCGACGACCAGGGTAGTGAAATGCTGTGTTGCGGCAAGGGCGGCGGTGAGGAGGAGGCCGATGGCGCCTGCACCGAAGACCAATGCGGCTGTCTCCTCTGGGGTCTCAGTCGCGCACAGCGCCCGGCTCACTGAGTCCGGATCGGGGGGGTTTGAACGGCGGATCGCATGCATGCATACCGCCAATGGCTCAATCAACGCGCCCTGCACGTCGCTAATGTGCGCAGGTAGTTTATGACATTTGCTGGAGGGATGGTTTGTCAACTCCATCAGCGTGCCGTCGAGGTGCGGGAAGGTCTTTGCGGAGCTCCTAAAGCGGAGACTACGGCAGATGTTGTAGCGGCCTCCTAGGCAGAGGGAGCAGGATCCGCAGGGTAAACCAACTTCAAGAGCGACGCGGTCGCCGACCTGGAAGTCATACACGCCCAAGCCGACAGCGGTGACAATTCCGGCTGATTCGTGGCCCAGACAGAGCGGGGCTCTCACGATGAAGTTTCCATTCCGCCCATGTTGGTAGTAATGCAGGTCTGAGCCACATAGGCCTGTTGCGCGGATGGCGATTTGGAGTTGACCCGGCTGTGGAGGTGGGGTGTGGCGAGTCTCCTGAGGTGAAAGTTAGCGGATACCGGTTGCTCTTTCTTTTGTGTGTGTGTGAGAGTGTGGGTATGTTTGGTATAAAGGATGTTTGGTATCAAAGGCCGCAGCCAGTGGAGTAGGACGAAAGCAGTCAAATGAAGTGACGTACTAATCGGAGGTCTTTCGCTCCGTGAAGCACAAGGGCATGGGAGAGCTGGGAGCTAGTCGGGATAGGCATCGTTAGTGCTTTTCTGGCGACCGGGAACTTCTCTTGACTACGTCTTTGTCTCCTGGATATGGCAGCAGGTGAAGAAATAAGACCCTTCAAACGCTAGTCATTCAGTGGCATGAGCAAATTTATCTCCTTGCAGTATGGTTCAAGCGTGCGCTGACATCAGTGAGAACGGCTTGACCCTTTTATATCTACTCAATCGCGAGAAGCATGTCACCGAAAAAGCAAACAGCAGTTGTAAGACTTACTTCTCTCAATTAGTCTACCATCATAACATAAGCTATATGCATCAGAGGGTTACTTCCCCTTACTTTCCCGAATTCCGCAGAGTCTGTTCAGGGTGAAAGTGTTGTTTCATGAGTCTTGTCGCACAAAAACGGACGTGCTGGAAACCGACGGACAAGAAACGGTGCAACAAAGAACATGCGGGGTGCAGCTAAAGCTCCAGTGTTAGTCTCACCAAGCAAGCTAGTTAACTAACTGCTGCAAGACTAAAACTAAAAAAGGAGCAGAAAAGAAGCACGGTGACAAGCGGATTAGCTCTCTATGATAATTAATAATAATAATATGGTGTTGCAGCGGGAAGTCCAAAATGTCCCGGCCGGAAGATGAGATGAAAAAGGAATAATGGATTAGGGCTTTGAAGTTAGTTAAACGTTAACTAACCTCGGGTGGTTAACTTATGTAATAACTTAATACTTGTCTATTGCCGAAGTGTGCTTTTGCTGGCTGGGTTTCATTATTCAGGGGCGAGAGAGGGTTTTCATTATCCGACCACCAGATAATAGTAGACAGAAACAGAGGCAAAAGCAGGCGAAAAGGGCAAAATAGAATAGCTCACAATTAAGCTGTCGATGCCAAATAATACTCTCCCTCTGGGCTTTTTGCCGCCATCCTATTCCAGTTCCTATTACTCCTCCGCCTGCATTCCCCTGGTTGGTTTTGATATTGCTACTAACCTTCCGCCCCCCGGGCTCGACCAACAATGACATTCCCCGGCTTCAAGCAGCCAAATCTTGATTTTGTTTTTTCCATGGTCAGTTGCCGCTGCATTCGACCATGGCTTTATCCCCCTAACAGCTACAGCTAGCGATTGAACACTAGCTGTTTGTTCCGCTGTTGCGCGGGGGCTGCCGTTTTCGCCCCCCTAAAGCCCCTTTGCCCGCGCACAGCTGATCAGCAAACGCCCAATCAGTACCTACTGCTTGTTTCATCCTCCGGTGCTCTTCTCATCCACAAACCAAAGTTAACCTCTACGTCAGATCGCGGATATATCAGCGCGATAGAAAGGGAAGATGCCAGCCCATGATGCTGCCACATTGGCTTTTTGGACCCGGTTTCCGGGGGTTGTTCCACCCCCCCTCCCCCCTTCTGGGGAGGATATAAATACGAGCTAAAGAGCGCAATGGAACTGATATCTTGTCCATTATTATTCCTCCTTTATAGTTACATGAGTAACCACCTGTTCTACTGTCTACCTCGCTGCGCCTTCTCTTCTCCAGAGCGATCCTATCGGTTTCATCTTCATTCGTGACTGTTATCCAGTTACATTAGTTATCCGTCTCTGCGCTGCTAATTAACAGCCCAGGAATCCCCGTCGAGCGATCGGAAGGCTTCACGGTAAGTCTTTCCCGAGCATACATACAACCCGTATCAAGAGCTTGATGGATGTTTCTATATATATGAGTTCTATTGCCTCCTTCAAGAAGTGAACTGCAACTGATGTTGTCGAAGATTTCAGACATCCCAAAGGAATTGTCCAACCTCGTTTCTATCATCTTCCAATTGATCCAATTCTCAAACAACAATGTCGTCTCGAGGAGCCCTTCTGATAGGAAATATTGACCACTGCAAGACTGAGTGGGATAATTTTTCCTCTATTGTTTCTCTGCACGTATGTGTACTCTTTTACTTCCCCTGCGTTGCCCCTGGTTTGAATCTCTTTTCCTAGAGTCATAGAGTCATTTTGGACTGGATGAATGTTTTTTATCACGAACATGGCCCGAAAAAGAAAAAAAGGAAAAAGGAAAAAGGAAAGAAAGGAAAAGGAGAATGGAAAAAAAAAATCGGCCTGGAAACGAGATGCACCATTACCCGGACCTTGCAGACCCATCCTGATTCGTTTCGCTTTTGTCATTGTGCGGTGTACAAATTTTCCTCTCCCCCTTTTTTTCTTTTTGTTTTTGTTTCTCTCTTAGGCCCCCTTTTTGCCTTTGACGCCGACAAAAAGTACGCGCATTGCCAAGCCAAAAGGGATGGACAACCGGTGGAACGCCCACGGGTGGCGTCTACGGAAGTCCAAAGAAAGTAACAACTTTGGACCAACAAGGATACGCTTGACATCCAAATAACGCTGCACTTTGTTCAGCCGCGCGAAAAGAACAAAAGTGCATCGAGATTCCCATATCGATTAGCTCTTTTCAATTTGCTCATGCAGATTGTGGCGCAGGACTTGAGTTTCATGGCCAGGCTCCTAGCCCAGAAAGGCAATGATCTGGTGGATGTCATGTTTCCCTGATGTTTCCAAGCTTTTCTTTGTTGGTCACATGTCTCGCTATTTGTGTGACATGAAACGAGAGGACCGATCAAGGAAGAGAAAAAACGAATAAACAGAGGACAAGAGAATATGCTGACAGATTGCAGCAATACGGTCAAGGAAACCGAGATGAGTTTATCGCCAACTGCAAAAGCGGCAAGTATGATGGTGTCGTCGCCATATATCGGTCGAACGAATCGACTAAGGTAAGCCCAAGTCCAAGTCGATTCTTCAAGATATTCCCGAAAGATCAAAACATGCCATGAAAACCCTGTCGTCGGATGGTCGGGGAAAGAGAACGTTCTTTGTAGCAGTCCATGCATTGAAGCAGCTTCCCCGCTCTGATAACGTATGTTACACACGCTGTGCAGGTAACCGGTCCTTTCGATGCCGAGCTTCTCGATGCTCTCCCGAAATCTCTTGAGTTCATCTGCCACAACGGGGCAGGATATGACAATATCGACATCGCAACATGCACCAAAAAAGGTATGTTTCCCTATTGCTTTCACTCCTAATCCCATTAAAAGGTAGTTGAAAGATTTATCGCTTAAATAATTGGTATAGGAATTCGTGTTTCTAGCACCCCCGTAGCGGTTGCCCCTGCAACCGCAGACGTTGCCATTTTCTTGATGATCGGAGCGTTAAGACAACTGTGGACTCCATTGTCTGCTGTTCGAGCAGGTGAGCTTATATCTCTTCATATTCCTTTTGCTGTGCCTAGGTCATAAGGCCAAAAGCTGAGCATCCGGTAGGAGAATGGCGAGGCGAGACGGTGCTGGGGAATGATCCCCAAGGAAAAGTGCTAGGGATCCTAGGCATGGGAGGGATCGGAAAGGTTTAGTTACCCGTCCCTATTTGTAGCGTATGTTACCAAAAAAATGAATCTGCTAACTGGCTAAACCTGTCATTTTCACTGCGCAGGAGGTTGCCCATCGTGCCAAGGCCTTTGGAATGAAGGTTATATATCATAATCGAAAGAGAGCCGACCCAGAACCTGAAGGAACCGAATACGTCACCTTCGATGCTCTCCTTTCGCGATCCGACGTCATTAGCATCAATTGTACCTTGACGGATCAGACTAGACATATCATCAGGGAGCGTGAGTTCGCGAAGATGAAGACTGGCGTGGTTATTGTCAATACCGCGCGCGGGGCTGTGATCGATGAGAAAGCGCTTGTGGAAGCTCTGGGAACTAAGGTAAGCAACTATCGACCAAAGAAGAATTGGGATCTCCAAATCATGGTACTCCTGGAAAGCCTTCAACCCGTCGATTCTGATACAGACTATTAATAGGTTGCATCTGTCGGTCTTGACGTCTACGAGCACGAACCCAAGATCGAGCCGGTTCTGCGTGAACATCCAAGGGCTTTCTTGCTCCCACACATTGGGACTTTCACACGCGAAACGCAAAAGAAAATGGAGGAACTTGTACTCCGTAATCTCAGGTCGTGTTTGGAGCACGACATCTTGATCACCATGGTTCCTGAACAGCGGATGGTTTTCCCCTAAGGCCACGTACGCATACAAGCGAATTCCCGCTGCGGCACCGGGGAGGGACTCTTGAAGAAAATCAGTATTGGCAGTCAATGAGGATTGGGTCGTGTCCATTAATTTTTTATTTAAGTTTATCTGTTTTGATTTGGGTGCGTTGAAAAATGATATCATAAATTTTCTGCCGATTTCATCTGCGCATGTTGAAGCATATTGGACTCAAAGCAAGCCCTTTGTAAATATAGTTTCCAGAAGTAAGATAGCATCCGCGTAGTATTCAACTGCAGACCAGCGCTCCCAAAGAAACCCTGTCATTGATTGATCCTTACCCTCCAGCCGATGGTTTCGAGGTTTGTTTGATATACGATAATCCCGAGGCGAGGAAACGTTATGTACTTCGTACGGTCAAGTGGTATCGTAACGCAAAGATATTCCACTAGCGCCAAAACAACCTAGTGTTAGGGCTGCCGGCCGCCACACCTTTCCCGATCGGGACTCGCTTAGCAACGCGCCTCACAGCGCTGTGACTGGGCGGAAAACAGGCTGAGGCCACACACGCACGCTGACCACCAGCCAAAGCTCCACCGGGTTCGACATTCTGAACGAGCCAACTTCTTCATCTCAATCACCAACCCCGACCACCAGGACCATCTTTCAGCACGACAACTCCATCAAGATGGTGAGTCTCCCTGCTGCCATGCCCCTTGCTGCCCTCGCGATGACTACGGTTGCTCAATTCACCCCTGGTCGAATCTCACCCATCCCACGAAATTGCTCGTTGGCAGTGTTTCCTCTGGCACAATATATAAAATCTCCTCGCAGGAGCACGACGGCATAAGACCCGTTATACTGACGGAATTCCTTAAAAAACTTTCAGGTCCGCTACGCCGCCCAATCGATCCCCAGCGCGAAGAGCGCCCGCTCCCGCGGTTCCTATCTGCGTGTCAGCTTCAAGAACACCCGCGAGACCGCACAGGCGATCAACGGATTGAAGCTGCAGCGCGCTGTCGCTTATCTGGAGAATGTGATGGCTCACAAGGAGGCTGTGCCCTTCCGAAGATTCGCTGGTGACGTTGGCCGCTGTGCGCAGGGTGAGTTCTTTTTGCGATTTTGGCTTGGTTTTGTGCTTTTTATGGCGGGGGGTTGTGAGGGATTATGGAAAGGAAAGGTTGGATGAGATGTTTCCGAAAGAAAAATAGAGTGAATGACAGGGGATGTTGGAGGAAGATACGAACACGCTATCCGTTGCGAAGGAGGATATGGATATCTTTTTTATTTGGCGGAATACTTGTGGTGGATTGGAAGAATTCTTCTCGAGCTGTTGGATGTGTTTGCGCATAATGGATTGAAACCCAGAAACTGCAACGATGATGGAAAAATTCTGCAACCAAACAAAAGATAACAGTGCTAACTAATTTTCCTTGCACCATACAGGCAAGCAATTCGGTGTCTCTAAAGCCCGCTGGCCCGTCAAGTCTGCCGAGTTCCTCCTCTCCCTCCTCAAGAACGCCGAGGCCAATGCCGATATTAAGGGTCTTGACACTGGCAACCTCATCGTCCAGCACATTCAGGTCAACCAGGCTCCCAAGCAACGACGACGTACTTACCGTGCCCACGGCCGTGTATGTTTCTCACTTTTCTCTGCGGCCCCTGCAACAGTGCCTTTTCATCTACATGGCGTTTAAAAACTAATTCGTGATTCCATCTCTAGATTAACCCTTACATGTCCAGCCCATGCCACATTGAACTCATCCTCACCGAAGGCACCGAAGATGTCCAGAAGGCCCCCACCGACGTCACCAAGGCGAGACTTTCGTCAAGACAACGGGGCGCTCAGATCCGACGCGCCATTACTGCAGCATAGGTGAAATAAATCAAAACAAGCAAACAAAGGGAATTAAAAAGCGGCGCATTTGTGTGGAATTGTAGCTACTTCTTTTTGTTTGTTTCTCTTTTTATAAAGGTCGATATAAAGACATAAAAAGATGACAAACTTTCATGCTGTTTTATTTAATGGTAGCGAGTTCTTTTTTCCCTCTATCTCTTGTTCCTCTAATTTCATGCATCCCTGTGTCATTGGCATATAACCCCTCCATCCTCTATTCTCGCCTAGATCTCCTTCCTCATGTGCCTTTCCCTTTCTTCTAACCTCGCTTCATGGTTGATGACCTGGAATTAAATGGAATTTTCTGGTTTTTCACCTCTCTCCCGCTCCAAATAAGCAACTTGGATTTGTGCGCGTTGTAAACACGTGAAATGAACAGCAGCATGCCCAGCATAGGACATTTTGCCATGGCCTTTGACGGAACCGGACTAGGTACCTATGATATTATATCAAATCATCATGATTGGACGGCCTTAGCAGCAGGAGATTATTTCAGCCAAATCGGCGATTATTATTAATAACCACCATGGCTCATTATCCCCGATCAAAGCACAAGACAATGGTTCAATCTACCACTTCACATAAACCAGATATATTGTGGAGATAAGATGTCCCTAATGATCCACACGCAGCAGTTTGACTAGGTAAGCGCACCTTTCGGCCATTCACGATAATGCTTGTCACTTGCATATACATATATGTATATATTCAGTCGATGTGTTCGTAAAATTTACCACCGACAAAAGCAAACATCCATCAAAGAGACAAAGGCAATCTGACACCAAGCATAGAAAAAATTTAATATGCAGGATGTCACTGCCTTTCTTGGAGGATAACATTGCTATAGTTGTATAAAAGAGCAACCGTTTTACTTCAGCCCACTCAAAGGAACTCTTTTCAGCACGAGACCGTGAATATTGCTTTTGGGGCACAGTGCTCATCAGTCCGTACAAGAAAAAGCGCCCGTGCTAATAACTATTTTGAAGAAGATTGGTGTGCCGGATTGGTGATCTCCTAAACAGGCTGTTGATAACATAGCAGTATGGATGGTGGATATCAGGAGTGAGAGGAAGAAGGGTGGAGTTTAAAAAGACACACTTTGATCATCTGAAGAAGCTCTTCCTTCAATGAGATGTAACTTGCACAAATCTTGAAATATGTATATCAACCACCATCTCAGTCAAGCCTGCTCTGCTAGTGTTCTCTAGATTGTGTTGCCTTCTTGTCAAGTTGTTCTTACCTTGTCCATCTTGTCCATGTATTTGACCATCTAAAGATTGTACTTGCCAAACATAAAGCAAAGAAAGGAAGTTTGATTTCTGTTTCTTGGATTGATCACTTCTCATGGTGCTTGTGGGCGCATTGTAGCCCTTCTTGTAATTTGATGACAGTGTCAAACTCATGCACAATGGCCTTCACACTTTTACAATGAGGAATAGAATATTTACATAGCAAGTGTGGAAAGATTCCTCATATCATTTATACAGAAGAGCAATGATGGAGTATCATTAGACATTTATTCAATACAAAGATGAGAACAGGTTGCTGCTAAAATGTAAACCGCGCCTTCTTGGAGTGGTTCCTCAAGAGTTGGTTGGTCTCCCACGCCGCTGATAAGGGATCTGTGACTCTCTAACTAGTTAAGTTAGTTACCTTCCCCGATTTAGCATGGAACTTCTTGACCAACTCCTCACATCCCGGGATCAGATCAATGTTCATAGCCTCGCCATTTCACCAAGTACCAGCACATCTTTTGGCCACCATCCTCCTTCACCATTCTTGATTTGAGTCACTCCTCTGCTGTCACTCCACCATCTTCAATCAACACTGGCAGTGGTGGGATCTGACCCTCAGGGTTGGACTCCTCGACACTCCCGACACTGGGTTCCCGACTGGATGTACGGCGTGAGGCCAAAAGAAATTATAAAAAAATTATAAAAAAATATAAAAAAATAATTTCAAAAAGGACTTACTTTGGCTGTCTCCAGCACTTGTAACTTGGGACTCAAACATCACACATCAACTTGTGTGTGAATTCATCTCATCATGTCCTTGCACAGGCTGGTATTCAACACACTGCTTTCATTATTGCTGTCATCAGAGAAGAGGCTACTGAATGAGCCATCACTGCTGCTGCTCTTGTCACCTTCACCAGAGATGCAAGAGTGCTTACTAATAGCTATGAATATAGATTTATCCAGCAGATTGATATCATTCTTCTCAAAGAGACTACACAGTCAATCCAGACTGATGCTGCTTATATTGTCACACATGCCTGGATTCTGATTCTGAGGGCCTGTCATCTTCACATTCAAGGTAGTTTCTGGACTTTCACTTATATTGAGCAGTGGATTCTTTCTGACTGATTTCTCATTCTCATCATTTCGTTTTCTGACAGCAGAAAAATGCTGCAGACAGAAAAGTGACTTACACTGAAATTTCATGCCTGATGCTGTGATGTGTGGATTGAAGTAATGAAACATGATGAGACAACAATCAAGTCAGTTAAAGAAATTGCAAAATCATGGAAGATAACAAGAGCAGTGATTTCAGAATGATTGTTGGCAGTTCAAGCCTTTCAGAGTGTAAGAGAAATCCAGCTTTTTCATACCTTCAGGGTGGGGAAGAAACACAATGAAATACCTTTTCAACCTGGGGAACTGAAGTCTTGCCTTCACAAGCCTCTCAGTCAACTAACGTTAGTGGTTGTTGTGATCTAGCTACGTGACAAACTCCCACTCCCGTTGGCAATTGCAAGCCCCAGAATCAGGAGCCCATTCTCGGTTTTACCCCAGGCTATATACGTTGGTGAAGCTCGTAAAAAGGTATATCCATCAAGAAAACTAGCACAGGGTTGCGACTAGGATAGATGCACTAGGACAAGAGACATTATATTGTAGCAAGAAAGGTATGAAGGGAAATGAAGTGGCGGCTGTTATATTAGGGGATTGGAAATTTTTGTTGGCAGCGTTACCCTAATATGTATAAAATTTACGGGGAGAGAGACAACTTGCGTTTACCCCGGGGGTAGATATTTATCTTCAACCGCTAGGATAACTCCATCGCGTTATGAGAACCCAGGGGGTCATTTTTATGTCTGTTTCTAATTCATTATTTTTTTTCCCCCTTCTCTCTAGCCTTCCCACCAGGGGCCATGCGGAGGCGGTAATCCCAGCAGCAAACGGTGCCTGGATGAACTTAGTTTCTTGCAAGTTGGCAAATTTCACTTTTATATATATCACTGGAAACGAGAAGATGCAACTATGCTCCATGATCGATTGATGCTCAAAATGGTGGTTTCGTCCGAGATACATTACACTCTGTACAACCAGTACATCACTCCTCAAATGGAGAAGATAGAGACTTTCAAATGATGTCCTGCCCGTGTTTAAAACTGTTCCAATTCCACGAGAGAATGAGCAGATGATGTCGTGGGAAAGGACGGGAACCTAAAATAAGCTTAAAAACGCCAAGACTCTAGCACGGTTGACAGGGTAAATTCCAGGAATGGCTTTCAACACATTTTGACACACCAAAGATTGCTGAGGACAACGGATGGTGATTTCTACAGATATCATGGACATGGACGAGCATCAAGGCATTTGGGAGGACCTTCCGAGTGTTTGTACGTTCTCCTTGTGCTCCCAGTGCTTAAATCAGGATCTAGTCGTTCACCATCAGACTGGTCAATCCTCAATTTTCCATACCATGGGGTGTACTACAGCATTTGTCTTATCTACGCAGAAATCAGATGGTAAACAAAACCCGACCTTTCCAATCCGATGGGATCACTAGAGCAAGAAACAGGGACTGCCAGTCCACACACAAAGTCCCTCGTTTGCGGATCCGAACGGATGCGTTGAGCGATGGATAGCAAGATGGCTCACGGATTAATGACTTGTTGTTCCGAAGGTGTGTGTAATTGCCCTGGATGTCTGCTGCGCTTCGCAAGGGAGAATCTCGCTCTTGGGGACTGGACTCAGACTATTGAACCTTAAACCACAGTAACGCCTGTGCAAGTAGAACGAACTCTCTGATCCATCTACTCCGGACATCCGTACAGCACTTCTACTTAACAATTCTATGCCTCAGCTCTGAGCTTTAAAAGGAGAATTGTCGACGTAGCTGTCTTGGCTGAGAAGCAACCGGAAGCGGGATTTTTACTACTTTCCAGAGTTCAAAGAAGAATTGAGCTTTTACCGCGATGATGGCCCGATACGATGGCGCACTTGGCTTGGGATTTGTCAACCCCCCTGTAGTTATCGCTTTCACTGTGCTATCCGAGCCTTTGGTGCCGCCGAAGTTACTCCACATGACGAGCCTTTCTTTGTCTGCCAAACAATTCAACATGTCAGCAATTTGGGCAGCTAAAATTTCCCATTGGATCCCCGGATATGTCGTATTTCCCTTCCTTCTCCCCATGACCTTGCTCTCCTGGTTTCCAAGACTGCAATACTTGTTCCTGAATTTGTTTCATGTCAGATTACCTTTTCCTTGGGGTAACCCCCTAAATGCCAGGGAACGTGGGGGTTGTTCTCCAGAATCTCTGCGGGGTACACAGGCGGAAAATTTCAACCATTGGACAAAAAGCCCATGAGTTACATACAACGACAGACGAGCAGAGAAGAGTTCCATCAGACTCGCAGATCATGGTTCCCGTCAGTGTGACCTGGATGCTACCTATCCGAGAATTACCCCGGATGGCTGGGACCAACCCCCACGCCGGGACAGTTCCGCTAGCCACCTAGCTGCATCTTGCTATCTTGTCCTGCAGCTCGTGTTCTTCTTCGCTGTGCTACAATGAGATGAGATGAACCGCGAAGCTCTGGGCGCTGGAACATTCTCAAACGGCCTCTGCTATAAAAGGCCAGCATTACCTATGGTACTCGATGTAAATCCAAGCAACAGCTGCCGCCCTATTACTTAGGCTTCTCTCCGTGCGCAGAAGCAATGATGCGTCTTCTACTTCCCTTACTTGTCACAGCCGCCTCGGCGCTACAAACCCTCCCGCCTGTGGACTGGCCTGGCAGTGAGGACATCTCCGGTTCTGGGTTCTCCATTTCCGAAGCCCCAAAGACGATCTATATCGAAGAGAAGTTTTCGGAACGAAGGGATGAGAATGGAATGACTCTTATCCCACCCTCTGGTTATGAATTCGCCGAAACGTTTCTCTCCGATCTGGAGGAGATTACCCGCGAAAAATGGTCCCTTGAGCGTGTAAAGGAAATCCCGAGCGATGCCAAAGGTATTATTCTGGGCGCTTTCAGACAGGATGCTGACGCCTTGACTTACGAGGATGGAACAAAGACGGAGGAGGGTTACGAGCTGGAGATTAAGGATGGTCAGGTGTATGTTGGAGGAACTGGCGCCCGTGGAATGTACTGGGGCACCCATACATTCCTACAATTGCTGCTTGTACACGGCGACAAGGAGATTCCTGCTGGCCGCGTTGAAGATGCCCCTTCTTATGCAACCCGTGGCTACCTACTTGACGCTGGACGGAAGTGGTACACACCAGCTTTCCTGAAGGACCTCTGCACGTACGCATCTTTCTTCAAGTTGTCTGAATTCCAATACCACAACAGCGACAACTACCCCCTCAATCGCGGGCGAAATGAGACGTGGACTGAAGTTTACTCGCAATTCGCTCTGCACCCCGAGAACGAGGAGCTGCACGGTGTTGTCCAGCGCGCGAATGAGACTCTCAACCGAGCGGACTTCGAAGATATGCAACAGCATTGCGCGCGCCGTGGTGTCAGCATCATTCCAGAGATTGAAGCACCTGGCCACTGTCTTTTCCTTACCAAATGGAAACCAGAGCTTGCATTGGAAAAGAAAGATTTGCTGAACCTAACTCACCCCGATTCGATCCCCCTTGTTAAGTCTATCTGGGAAGAATTCCTCCCCTGGTTCCAGGTCAAGGAAGTACATATCGGTGCTGATGAATATGACCCCACGCTTGCGGACGTCTACATTCAGTTTGTGAACGAAATGCAGAAATTCATTAAAGAGAAATCCGGAAAGGATATCCGTATCTGGGGAACGTATGAGCCATCGGAGAACTACACTATTTCCAAAGACATCATTATCCAGCACTGGCAATATGGTCAGTCCGACCCCCTTCAACTGGACAGAGAGGGATACCCATACATCAACTCCCAAGATTGGTGGGGATACATGTCTCTGAAGAGTGACCACACCCCTATCTTCCCGGCTACCTACCCACAGTTCTTCAACAACACGCGGACATTGAACTTCGCCAACAAGCCAGACTGGCAATGGGAACCGTCGCTTTTCAACCACGTGAACGTGACCGAGCAGGTCAAGCCAGGCGCGAAGGGCAACAAGGGTGCCATCATCGCGGCTTGGAACGATAACGGACCCGATGCCAGTACACAACTCGAAGCATACTACGCGATGAGGGATGGAATTCCCGTCGTTGGCGCCAGAATGTGGGCGGGTGCACGAGGCAATCGTCTCGATACCAAGTCACTGCCCGCATCCATGGAGCTCCTGACGAACCGTGCTCCAGGCCAAAATCTTGATCGACGCCTGCCATCTGAGAAGGGAGATGAAGAGCCCGGCGAGACGCTCTTGACCTGGAGCAGCGACAAGGGCTCGAAAGATCTGGGCCAAGGTAGCAAAGGAATGAACTACACGCTGATCCTCGACGTTACGGGCCCCTTCAAACTATCTTCCGATGACACATCTCTCTCCCTCGACGATGCTGGAAACCTCCTTTTCAACTCCGACAACTGGGTCTACCCCCTCCGCTCCGTCGGAGAGGATGACGGCTACGATCCAGGCCACCCCGGCCGAATCTGGACCAATGCCACCAGCTCCACGCACGAGCCTGTTACCGTCCCCCTGACTTCACAGGTGACCATTAAGACCGATGTGATCGGCGGAAGCAGAGTATGGATTGATGGGAAATTCAGCGGACGATTTGAAGTGTTCGTTTTCGGCGGAAGGAATACTATCTTCTCGTGGAACCAGATGGCACTTGTGGCCCCACTTGATAAGATTGAGGGCGATGGATTGAAGAGCTTGACGCTCAAGAATGGCATTGGGGATTCATCAGGCGGTGACGATGATGATGACGATGACGATGACTCCTTCTCAGCGGGTAACCGGATTGGTTCTGCGGGCCTTTGGGCTTGCGGTCTTGCTCTGATGGGCATGTCTCTCCTACTGTAAGAATGATGAAGTATTGATTGTGAAGAACACAGAATAACAATACAAACTCAACCAATGATTTTATTTATATTTTTTTGGGCACGGCACCTTTTGCAAGTGGTGGCTTTGTATAGTTAAACTAGTTCATTTCTCCAAAGAATAAATTGTTGAGATATTTAATGAGACATTTTTGCACCCTACTTCCCAATATTGTGCTGGTACCTATATATTTGGACGCTTTCTTCTGCAGTATCGATTTACCTTGGTTCGAAAACTGTGATAGAAACGTAAGTGATTGTAAGGAGCTTTGGTGAAAGGGGATTTCACCCGTTACTAGGTACGAGGGGGGTAGTAAAGGCAGCAATTTTTCATATTTTTCTTGACTCCCAGAAATGTCATTGATCAATTCCCAAGCCAAAGTTGGTCGAAATCCTTCAGTCAATTGAATATCTAGTTGCTTCGCTGTGTCAGAAAGTCTCGGTTCTATCATCTACAAGCAAAAGAGACGAACGAGGAGCTGGGCTCGACCAGGACGGACAATCCTCACCCCGAAGGAGATTATTATGTAACTCTGCAAAAATGGGCAGCGTTACAGAGGTTTCTTTCTCCAGTGAAATTGCTTCGCTCGACGCAACACTGCGCTGCTAAGGCAAGCAAGAAAGACGCAGAGTTAATAAATACCACCGTACATTACCTCCTCTGGCCCGACGACGGCGCTTTTGATTGATCAAATGCACGGCGCGACGACAAGGCAGCCAAGGCCAGTATCATGCTGAACCGAGTGGTACCAGTCGTATATTGAGTTCAGCTTTCTGCTCTGCGAACGTTATGTATTCCCTCGTTTGCAAGGGATCAATCAGTTCAACGTGGGTCATCGGAGATGAGCGTCAATCTTGGGGAATTATTATTCCAGCAGAAAACTCCTAACTCCTTGCAAGTTTCTGGAGGCGGTAGATGTGTAGCTTGAGATATCCAAATTCCCTTGTCCATCAGCGGGTTAGGGTAGCCAAAGCTCTGTTATCATCCATTATCATCATGTCCCCAACATTTCTACAATTTACAATTTGGTGGCTCAAGCTCTTACAGATGAAGGATCGCGCCGAGCCAGTTAACGCTTCGACTGTTGGAAGATCCCCCACGCTAAGTTAGTTGCAGCACAGCAGGCCCCACGCGACAATGGTGGCTGGGCATCGGTCCTTCACTAACGGAAGGGCGGCCAATAATTGAATCGGCGGCCCCACTGGCTGAAGTGGACGCCGGTGAGGTAGGTAGGTGCTTTCTATGTAGTAACTATGCTTAGATACCCCGGTGGTTTCATTAGGGCCCCCCCTAATATTTTAGTGGCATTCTAACCAGAATTCTGGGGGTATGTGGCATTCTCAAGTTTGAGTGTGTTTTCATCATCATCTAGAGAATGAACTCTATAGATAGAATTGGTAATAATATTAATATCTTATAGTCACTCTCCGTCTCTATAACGGTCTGACAGTGAGCAGATATCTCTGCTACAAGCTCTGATAGTTACTCCCCTATTATAGTATCTCAGACATCTTTAATTGTAAGAATAGGCCCCGGGCTGGGGGCAGGTGCAGGCACGCCACCGCTAACTATATAAGGATGGGTGCCGGGCGCGGCTTGGGGAAACCACTAAACCAGTCGGCCTAGTGGTTAGAGCCCGGACCCCGCGGGGCGGCTTATAAAATTTAATCCTCAACTAACGTTACTGAAATTAAATAGTTAACTTAATTGTATTAACAGAGAAGACTTTTATAAAACTATTTTGTAAGAATAATCTCTTCTCTTTAATATTCATATCAGATATTTCTTATTAATTTTAAGATAGAGAATGATAATAAGTTTTGTATATAATGTTTAATAATTGATTCTGAAAGCTGTCTCCAACTGTTCTCCGTACTCCGTACGCTGTACGCTAGTAGAGAGATATGAAGATGTGCCCTCCCCCTGGAATGATGGTTAGCAGGCCACTAAAATATTAGGGGGGCCCTAACAAAATGAAAGGGGTTTACCAGTGCACTTCATTATGCAGCTCAGCGCTCAGTGCTCAGTTGTGCTTGTGTGGATATTGCGTCGTCCCATCCCTAGCCGTGTGCGGAGGCCTTCTGATGTTGCCCAGAAATGAAGTTGCACTTAGTTCACAGCCAAATGACACTGTGTGTGTGTGTGTGTGTGTGTGTGTGTGTGTGTGTGTGTCTGTGTGTTCTGTGTTTGGAGACAAGATACTCCGTACAGAGTACAAGAGAAGGAAGAAAAGAGAAGAAAGATTGCAGTATGGATATCTTCCGTTCACCCCGTCGTGTCGACGGAATTTCTTCAGACACAGTTAGGGCATATATATGAAATATATGAACCTGGAGGGAAGGCTAAGTTTTGAACTTAAGAATAAACACATGGCCGTTGACTACCTCCCACTTGTTTCATCCCATGCAACAGCTTTTTGCTTGCTCTTCATGCCGGCCCCTTGCAGCATTTCTGGCGAACCTGACTGCCACACAATAATAACCTGGTCTGGTCTGTGAACGTTAAAAATAGGGAAAAAGGCAGTCCAGTCCGACTGCGCACCTTTTCGCCCTGACCACATCTGACGCGCCGTTAAAATTCCCCTGGAACTACGGGGTAAAGAATGCGCAAACGGCAGGGGACATGGAACTTAGCACTTGGCCTTGATGACGTTTGGCTGTTTTCTGTCACGGCTCTTCGCGACCTAAGCCGCCAGTGCTTACTTCTACTTGACAGAACGCCCTGGTCAAAGAAAACTCCACGCATGAATGTTATCTCTTATCGTCCGACAACAGTTTTCCCTTCCGTCCCCGCGTTCTATGGCACAAATCCGCAGCATTAAAAAAGTCCACCAATCCAGCTCGAAGAATGCCAGCTGCAACTGAAAAACTCGCGATCCCGCGCGGTTCTCTCGTCCTCGTCACCGGCGCCAACGGCTACATTGCAAGCCATGTCATCGACCAGCTCCTCCAAGCCAACTTCCGCGTGCGCGGCACAGTCCGCAAACTCACCAGAGGCCTCTGGCTAAACGACCACTTCACCTCCAAGTATGGGCCCGGCAAATTCGAGCTTGTCGAAGTGCCCGACATGGCCGTCACGCACGCCTACGATGATGCCGTCAAGGGCGCCTCGGGGCTCATCCACATCGCCACCCCTGTCCTGGTCACCTATGACCCCAACGAAGGCATCCCCATGGTCACAAACGGGACTGTCAACACCCTCGAGTCCGCGCGGAGGGAACCGTTGATGAAACGTGTCGTACTAACATCCTCATCCACCGCGGCGGCGAGCCCGCGGCCAGATGTTGAATTCACCATGGATAAGGGGACGTGGAATGATGAGATCGTGCACGCTGCGTGGGCGCCGCCGCCGTACGAAGGGTGGCAGAGGCGACATAACGTCTACGCGGCCAGCAAGACGGAGGGCGAGAAGGTGGCCTGGAAATGGATGCGGGAGAACCAGCCGGGTTTCGTGCTCAACACGGTGCTGCCCAATGCGAACTTTGGCGAGGTGCTTAGCCCGCAGCATCAGGGGTTCCCGTCGACAGCTGGCTGGGTGAGGGCTGTCTGGGAAGGGTTCAAGGGCAAGTATGCGGACGAGGTATCTAATAAACCGCAGTATTATGTAAATGTGCGCGATAATGCGTTGGTGCATGTGGCCGCGTTGATATATGCGGATGTACAGGCCGAGCGGTTATTTGCGTTTGCGCAACCGTATAATTGGAATAACATCCTAGCGGTGATGAGGAAGTTGTATCCGGACAGAGAGTTTATTGATGATATTCCGGATCTGGGGAGGGACTTGAGCAAGGTTACGAACCAAGGGGCGGAGGACTTGTTGAAGAGGATATCAGGGAAGGGTTGGACGGGCTTTGAGCAGACGATCAAGGAGGCGACGGAGGGATTTATTAAGTGTTAAATTTTCACCGAAATGGCGAGTGTAGTGGGGTACATCCCCTTACGGGGTTCTGCGAGTTACAAGGAAGAAGCGCTGCATCGATCGATATCTGGATAATGATTTATGATAATGAGTGAGGCTACAACAACTATGGGGATGGTACCGGCTTGCAAATTGATATGCAGAGACAACTAGCACGAAAAGAAAGTGGAGGAAGCCAACCCCCTATTCCATTACAGAAGAAAGAAACACTGAATGAATTGAAGATCAGAATAAAGAGAAATCCCTACTTAATCCAGACCTCAAATCATTAATACTCTAATCTCCTATTAGGAGCTCGGGACCACCCCGAAAGCTGCTTCGGCATAATCATCAACATCGTCCTCCTCCTCCTCCTAATCATCATCATCATCCTCGATGGTTTCAACTAATAGATTACCTCCCCTGCCGATTTTTTCTCCAATAGAGCCATTAGCCTCGATTTCGTACACTACACGAGGCATCGGCGAAACAAGGCGGAAGCCGTATTTGTGCTCAAAGTTCTCAGGAGGTTGGACATCTCCCGACGCCGAGGCTTCTCCCTCTTCCCCATTAGTGTGTAATACGTCATAACATTCAACAAAGGCATACAATTCCTCAATACTCGCGGAGCCTGAAAATCGTCGAATCACTCTGTCGCCCGATGCCAGTCGGATACTCAGGCGAACTGCCTGCTTATCAGTCGCGGGAGGTTCATCCGGTATCGACTGCGCCCGCCATCGTTTCCACTGCAGTAGATCTCTCGCTAATTTTTCAGCGGCAGCCTGTCTTTCCTGAGCTTCTAGCTCCGCACGCTGGCGCGCAGCTTCCGCCTCTCGCCGCTGTCGGGCGCGCTCTCTGTCCTGCGCAAGTGACCGTTCGTATGCGGAATCCTGTTCCTGTCGGATCGTCCGCGAAGCTTGCTGTTCGGCCCTAGTACCGCGCACACGATCGAGTGAGGGTTTGCTCTGAACGATCGCTGAACGAAGCTTTTCTGTAACTTCAGACGGGGTGCTCGGGCCGGGAAGCTTTGCTATTACAGACATCGCGGATGGAGACACACTCGGGTCGTGCACTATGAGCCCGAAAAAGGGGAATTTAGTACATCCAAGGCTGCTGGCAACTTGATAAGCCTCGGAGTCTCGGACATTACCGGCCCAAACCAAGATCTGATTGGCTGGATCGTTGATGAAGTTCACAACCTCCGTGGAAAGGAGGGTGTCTCGAACCCAACTGCTCGTAAGGTCATGTTCTGAAGACAGTAG